GTGTGCACTATAAAGAACCCAGTACATCCTTCGAGACGAGTAGGGGGATACCCCGGTGTACTGGAACAGACAGCCCCTGTGGTGGACGACGAGAGTTGCTGGTACCGGGTTACCGGGTAGCACAGACATGAAGGGACCCATAGGGGCGAAGAAAGTCATTGATTGAGTTCCTAGTCCACACATCACCAGCGCATTGAGACTTCGGTATAATGCGCTATACCAAATCCCACTACATTACATTACATTACATAATGTATGTTTGTTAAGTTTTAAATTAATTTAGGAATTTAATGATAAGAATATTGTTCCATTTATTAAATGTATAAAAATATCTCACATGAGTCTTAATTAATGTTCATCAATGTTTCTCAAACCTGCTTATTGTTCAGCAAAATATACCAGTACATAAGCCCATATACTATTTGCTATTGTCAATATGTAGGCCTGAGTGTTATATGTTGTTAAATGAATAAACAATTAATATCAAAAATAGTGATATAAAGTGCTTACCCAAACTTGATCACCATGACAAAAGCATAGATAATTTGTTTGTAAAGTTTTGAATAAATTTAGGAAGTTTAAAAAATATTAATACAGTAGTGCCCACAAAAACTGCCCCTTTTGAACGCGTTGGATGCATCCTAAATACGTCCAATTTGCGTCTATTTAATGGTTGCGTCGTACGCAATTCCGGCTTTCAATGACATTGTTAATTCGAAACTGGGTGTAGAATAAACAATTAATGAATAACAATCCAGTAATTGTTGATTATGTCCGTGTTCGGACGAAAACTCATATACATGTGTAATCTAATAATAGCCTTGGAGCTAATTCCGACGGCCGTTCGGACGAGTAGTAGAAGGATAAGAACCGGTAAAACCAGTAACTTCTCGTAGGTCTTTCCTTCAACCAAGGTCAGACACAAGTTTTTTAGCAATATTTGTGTTGTTACTGATTGAAACTATACATAATCTAGCCTTTGTAACTTCATTTGGAGCTTCAAGTGATTTCTTCACCGTGCTAACAAAACTTTTTTACATTTGACACGCCGTGTTGTTTTTGACTGTGTAAAACAATTCGTAAAGTTGTAACAAAACTAATTTAAAAGTAGGTATAAAATTATGTTTCTGTTATTGAAATACAAATTACATATAATTATAATTTTTAAGTTTCTTTTTAAAGCAGTATTACTCACTTAACAAATAATAAACTGTGAATTAGAAATACAAAATTTGAACGAAAATAATAAACTATGAATTAGAAATACAAAATTTGAACGAAATCACCAGCACCATTATCATCGCCCTGATTAATATTATAACAGACAACAAAAAAGATTGTACATTACACCTGCTTTACTACATTTTGATTTGATTTTATTCAAATCTGTTCAATCAAATTAATTCGAATACAAACTTACTGTTTATACAATAAATTATCGATAAACTTAATTTAAAGTAATACTCTTATTGCTTGTCAAAACATACATAGAACAATATAAAACCACTTTGTCAAATACAGTACACGTCATACAAATATTCAAGTACTCTTTCAGTTGTTGCTTAAACTAATAATTGACTATGAACTCTTCATGCATGCCATCATATGCCGCCTTCCAGCATCAATAGACTTTTGGCAGTCCCGCCAAAGTCTCTCCTTTTCTCCCGCCGCTGCTGTCTAGTAAGGTGACTAGCTCGGCTATCTCCTTCATAATAAACTCACCAGGAATTAAAAATATCCCAGAATCAATAAATAGACGCCTCCGAAATTTTGTATGACGAGCAATCATTCAATGATGCAGCACCACTTTACCAACAGGCCCTCAATAATAGCGGATACGATTATCAGCTCAAATTTTCACCACTACAAGAACCCATGAACGAGAAGCACAGCCAATCCCACAAACGTAACATAATTTGGTATAACCCACCGTACAGCATGAGTGTTGCCACCAATGTCGGGAAAACTTTCCTCGAGGCTTTAGACCAAGCATTTCCACCACATCACACACTGCATAAATTGTTTAATCGGAACGCTGTCAAAATTAGTTACAGTTGCACTGGGAACCTCAAACAGACCATTGATGGTCACAACAAAGCAACCATAAACAAGGAAACAAATCAGCAAAGGATGCAACTGCAGGAAGCCCGAGGAATGCCCTATGTCTGGCCACTGCCTCAAAGAATGTGTAATCTATCAGGCAATGGTTTAACTACTAATAACAAACCAAACCAAACATACGTAGGCCTCACAGAGAACGCATTTAAGACAAAATACAATAACCACAAAGCCTCATTCAAGAACAAATCCAAGAGACTTAACACAGAACTAAGCAAGTAAATATGGAAACTAAAAGAAAAAAATATGGACTTTAAAATTAAATGGAACATTCTCAAACAAGCTAAACCATATAATCCATCATCAAAAAGATGCAAACTATGCATATGGGAAAAATATTTTATAATTTGTAAACCCGAAATAGCTACACTTTTAATAAACGTAATGAACTTGTTTAAGCATGCAGGCGTGCCAACAAATTTCTTCTAAGAAATTTTGTAACTTAATTTTATTTTTACCCCCTCCTAGCATGCAAAATCTTTCCCATGTAATTTTGCTACTTAACTTAATCACTTTAATCCCTTTCATTACTTATCAAACTTTAATCAGACCCATCTAATAGAACCTTTGTATTACCGCTCTATACCTTTCTGCACTGAAATTCAAAATGTTTTTCTTTATACTAGATATCAGTCAATCATTGGCCTGCAAAATGTAATTTCCATAACAGTTACATACATGTGAAAGTCCCGGCCACCTCCCGGCAATCGTTTTAACATACATTCCCGGATAAGTTCCCGCTACTTATTGCCGTAGTCCCGGTAAAATGCCCTGCTAATAAATGATTGGATGATAAGGCCACTTGAAGGTCTAGTCTATGTCTGAATTGGAAAAACACATGAGAGCTAGGCCAATAAGGTGAGCTTGCTTAATAATGAAAGCACGTGCATGTGTATCACTAGGCAGATTTCCATTGAAGTTGGAAAAATTTCGAAAAAAATTAGTGTATTGATTGATCATAGAAAAAAAAATTGATTGATTGATTTAACTGACTGATAGAATTTATTCAGTATCAAAACAAAATTAAATAAGAAAATTAATACATGTAGTAGAAACAGATTTCCTTGCCTTTGCTCACTGGTGTATTTTTTGACGCAAACTATGTTGAGTCAAATAATACACGGTTCACAATTTTCACGCAACACATTCACATCACCTCGGTCCTCGTTGTGTGGTTGGAGGTTTGCATTTTTATTTTGTAAATTATTCTGTGATCTATAAAAAATTAAACCATAATGGTAGGCCTATAGTAGGTAGGTGATTTTTTAATTACCAAAAGACACAGCAATTGCTGAATGCCAGGCCAAGTGTAGGCTAGGTAGGACCAGACCCGGTTTCACAGCACTACACCTGAAACCCCAGCTGGGTCTACTCTAATGTGTAAAATTTCCTTTTGAGGCTGGTTACATCTACGGGTGAAATTTAGGTACGTTCCGACACTACGGGAACGCAACTATGTGTACGTCCCCGGCTGAGTTCTGGCTAGTGCCCCGCTGTGACCCCGGTCTGGTGGGCAGGGACTACAATTGACAAGTGCATAATACTGTAAAACTTAAAATAGTAGCCCTGGGCTTCTTTTTTGAGGACCCTTGGATGCTACTTTTGAGATTGGCATCTTTTCCAGATGGGCTTCTTTTCAATATTTCTTTTGCAAAAAAACGAGGGCTTCATTAAAAAAAATAAAAGGTGTAAATATTTGGAGTTGTGAATAAAAGCATTAACTACTGAAGACATTTTTCAACCATGGATGGTGCATTAATTTAATTATAAGGGCAAAAAAAAAAAATCTATGTTTGCCCTCCTCACCCGTTTATTTGTTATTCAAGATTCCTTTACAGTGAAAGTACTGTACTTTCATGAAAAGAAGCATGGGCTTCTTTTTGAGATGGAATATTTTGAAGCTTACTTTCAGGCTTTAAATGTTACACAACCATAAACTCAACAATCTTATAACATAACAAAGTAATTTTGTTTTAGAGCACAGTCAAACCAAATGCACTTTTAGCCTATCATGAGTTATTGTTTTTCCCCAAATATCCCATTCACCCAAGTTGGCAGCAGGGGCGGATACAGAATTTTTCAAAGAGTGGGGGAGGGGGTTGGGACACAACAGTCTCATAATAGGTAAGTGAGTAGCACATAACACTCTTTTGCATTGAATTTTTTTTAATTTAGTGGCAAAATGGGAGTGGGGGGGGGGAGAATGTGTTATTTGTAGAATACCTGTATGACTGTTATTTATGTATATCTATATTTTCTATATATACAATATATGAATTTTATTTTACAGATTCAAATCATTCAAAGGAAGATAAGGAAGATACACCCAGTAATCAGCCTACAAGTAAAGGTTTGTGCTATTATTGTGTATCGTGTAAATAGATCCGATAACATCATTAGAATTGCATTCTAAATCATACGGTAAAATGAAAACTATAGTAACTGCAGTAAATCGCTAATAATTTGCGACTGTAACATTTTTGCGAAATTTAATTGATTGATGTTTGTTATAAGAACTGTTTTTTTTTTTACAGTAAAGGTGGTCTCACTCTCTTCTTTACCCAAATTCAGGGGCGGATCCAGTCTGAAAGTGGGGCCGATCGAGACAACACTGCCCTAGGGGGTCCAAAAGTTTTGTTTTCTTGATGCCAAAAAATAACCTCAGATGTGTTTTGGGCAATCAATTATTTTTTTTTCCTTTCTAAAAGGAGGGGTCTCTTTCCCCTCCCTCCCAAAATCCACCCCTGCCCAAATTTATAAATTTTAATGAACCATTAAGATACACTTATTATGCATTTTTTTTTTTCAATAACAAATTGTTGGATGTGTTCTAACATGCGTTGATAGCTGCAGCAAAACATAGTCAATAAACCTAGAAGTAAGTGATCTATAATTTTCTATTATTGCAGCAATAAAATTAGGGATAGGTGTGGGCATACCATCATTTCTTCTTCTTCTGGTGATTATTGCATTTATGTAAGTATGCCTAATTTTTTCTGTCATAGACAACCAACATTTCTGTTAAATGCATATTAAATCTGAAACAATGAGTGTGCAATTGTGTAATAATATTTGAATACATACCATTTTTATGTTTACAGTAGTGGGAAACATGCCAACTTTACAGAACGCAACTTAACAAGTTAGTAAAAATAAATTTGTAACATACTGTTTTTTTCTTTGTAGAGTCAAGAAATTTCAGGTGAGAAAACTTTGATTAATTTCATAACTAGATAGATATTCATTTATTTTTTTTGCATCTTAATAAATAATGTATTATAACTACAAATAGAGATACTATGTTCAATAGAGCATGACAACAGTAATTTTTCATGGTTTGACCCAAGATGACCCCAGTGACCTTTGACCTCAAGCTGTGAACACCCCATGTTTGGTTGGAGTCCAGTCATTTGTCACTAGCAATATTTGATAATTTTCACCCTAATGACCCCTGTGACATTTGACTTTTGACCTTAATTGACATTAAGAGCATATTAAAACATAATATTTACAATGTCCTAAAGTATCATCTGTAATGAATTAGAGCTACATCAAAAAATATGGAAAAGACTGACCTTTGACCCATAGGATGAAGAGTATTTTTTTTCATGTTTGGAAGGTCCTAAGGATCATTCCTGATAAATTTGAGCTCAATTGGGATATTTTTTTGCAAATTTGACCCCTATGTGGATCTGTACTGATAGATCTGAGAGCCATTTGTATCATGAAATTGTACATTTTTTTTTCTCTTGGACCAATTAGCAACAAGCTTGGTTTGTTCAAACCAATCGAAAGCCTACTTAACGCAAACAACCGTGTTCCGTGCATGACGTAAACGCAGCGTTGAAAAACTCACAATTATTTGTCTGGGCTCCAGACCGGATCCGGGTTTGACTGTGCTATGTTATTTGTGAGAGAAGCAGTCTTATACGATATTTGGTTTTTTAACCCTTGCAGCACTATGAAGGGATGGGGGACTACAGCCCTCCCCCTCCCAATTATTCGGGAAGAAAATAAAAATTCAAAAAAAATATTATTATTATTATATGTATTTTGTACTCTAAAATTGATTAATTAAGCCTTTGAAACCCCTAAATTGTCATATTTTCGGGGGCTACGTCCTATGGACTACTTTTTTTTTTTTCTCGTTGGGGGACATCAGCCCCAAATGTTGACAGAAAGAAAGGAGAATCTGCTCAGAAACAACCCAGTCAGCCTGCTGCTGACTGGGTAAGAAAATAATCAGTCTTATGATAATGCATCATGCCAATGAGCCTTATTGTCTTCACATACAGTGAAATTATTATTAAATATTATTTAAAAGGCTATACAGTTGAAGTTAATGGCATTGAAAAATTGTTTGTCAGCCAAGGGAGAAGGGGAGGATATATTTCCAGACTATCACTTACATAAAGACACCATCTGCCAATCAGACTGACAGACCAATCACTAAGTATTTCAGTATGGGGTGCCATACGCCGCAAAAGTCCATGTTAAAATTAAAATGTAATTGCAAAATTCAATGTCTAATTTATCAAAACATAGTGAAGACAATATGAAGCCTAGGTTAGGCCTAGCCTATAATGCCTAGCTTAGGGCTCCTGATCGCGGTACCCTGACCATTAGAGACGTACTGGGAAGCATTGTTCACATTATTGGACTGCAGTGAAAATTGATTCCCCTATCATTAATGCAACAGGCACATGTCATGCTTGGCTAGTTTTGATTTACATTTTGCATGTCTAGTTGTAAAATGTTATTCAAACCAGTCATGCTTGGCTGGTTTTTGATTAATGTTTTGGAACAGAATTTGGAGAGGGCGTTTGAGACCTACGTTTTGAATTTGAATTACATTTTAATCAGAACTACATTTTGGAAAATTTGAACTACGTTTTGAAAAATTAGAACTTCATTTGGGAAACTACAGTAGACCAACATTTTGAGAAATTCACACCTATGTTTTTATATAATGGACATTGAATTTTGCAATTGCATTTTGATTTTAACATGGACTTTTGCTTTGTATGGCACCACATAATTCAGGGCTGTCCCATTAATTAAACCTATTGCCCAAAAGAGCTGTTACAACAAAGGGGGTAATTTTGTTACAATACTTTTTTTGGGGTTTTTTTTTCTATTAACATAATTTCAGATTAAAAGTCTTTTTTTATGCTAGCCACAGCTTAAGCAAATATGACTTCATGTGCAACTTACAACATTTAAATCACAGAGTGCGGCCCGACAGTGACTTTTTGCGCCCTACGAAAATGAAGCAACAGTGGCTATAAAACATCTAATTTTTTACGCCCCAACACCGATTATATGTAAAAAGTAACATTAAACTGAAAATAAAGTGGTGTAAAAGCACTGCTGTTAGGTTTTTGGAAGCTCAATGGAAACATCAAATTTTTGGGTGCACCCATCAGTGTTAAATCCAAAATACACTTTGGCCCTCCGACCGATTTTTATGCCCACCCCTGATTTAAATATTTATTGCAATCACATTCATACGTATTTGAATTTCATTTTGATGAAATTCAATATTATTCTTATATTATATTTCAGAATAACCAAGGTGATGATGTTACAAGAACTCAAAATACGGTTGAAATGCATCCAGTATTACAAAATGGGATCCAAAACAATGGTCGTTAATAAAACATTATTAAGGATAAGTGTTACAGGATTTCAATTTATATATTATTATGATATTAAATAATAATAATAATAATTTTAAAGCAAATTTTGTAGTCAAAAAAGTGTAGTAAAATTAGATTAATCAATGTTTTTCTATAATGTGGATTTGCAAACAACTGAACTCTTAGTAAACCGATTTTATTTTATTACTCTATAATAAAATAATTAGGGTATATAAGAGTTCATTAAAAGTTTGTTCATCTGGGATCTAAATTCATGTTACAGTAGTGTCTGTTGTTACTACTGTATTTGTAATAGTTTGCCATTTGTGTCAAGTAAGCAATCTGTGTATTATGATACATCTTGTGGACAATTCCATAAAATGACCAACCAAAAGGTGAAACATTGAAATGTGTCGTTTTCAACAATTTTATAGTATCATTGTAGCGCTAATATGTTCTAGTTATATTAACAACAAAGAAAAATAGAAATATAATTTTTTTCATAGTGTTTACATCACTGTAAATTAGCATATAATTTTCATAAATTGTAAATTAGGATATGAAGGGGTTGGTTTTATTATTCTATAAAAGCCCCAAAATATAGTTTAAATATTTTGCAGGACAGAAAGAGATGTATTTTTATAATTCTAATCACAATTTCGAAAATTAATAGTTGAGGCTTTAGCATAATGCGCTATATAAGCCAAAATTATTATTATTATTAATAGTAAATATAAATATATAACTTGATTAATTAGATGTTAGATGTATAGTACATAATCAAATAGACTGTCAAGTCTATATTGTTAAAGTCCGTCACATAATACTAGCTATAAGGTAACTACATTACAAAGCTAATTTAATGAAAATTGAATAAAGATTTTAATTTCAGCAGCATTTTCTGTCATATTACAAATATTTTATCATAGTCAATCATTTAACTAATTAACTTTTGACTTTTAAATAATTAATAAGTTATTGTACATTTTGTTTAATTGCTATATCGATTAACAGGGATGCTGATTTTGCTGGACACCATTTTAATTACTCTAGATCTGTTTACTTTGCTAATATACAGCTTAGTTTATTAATATTAATTTAGTAATATTAATTAAATGAAGGAA